GAAGCCCACGAGGAACTTTTCCCAAGTGAGTAGTCCCTCTAAATGTGTCTTTCTCTGCTGGTAGCCTTGAAGTAGAAGCGTACGCGCTGCCCAAATGGTATGGGGAACCCTAACATCAACAGGGTCACATTGAAAGCAGCTAAAGTACACAGGGATGAGGAGAAAAACATTTTTGCACTACAATTTCAATTTTTTTTTTAAACACAGCCTTACACCTCTCATTATTTGGGCAATGCAAAAGTGCAGCACATTTTGTCACCTTCTCCAGAGCAGGGAGCTACTGGACCTCTGCTGGTTGACTCAAGCTGAAAAGGTGGTTCTTCCTCCCTCCAGTCATCCCTTCGACCTTGGATAACAGACCTCCCATCTGGAAGTGTTTTCCCAAAGTTATTCACTCCATGCTGTTTCACACACACACACATAAGAAAAGGCCCAGTGACTGCAGTCACCACGTCACCAAGAGTAATAGATCTTTCCATACACTTGCACTGATCACATCCAACCTCATCCGTTCTTTGTCAAGCCTCCACAAAGGAGCTGAGCAGACTCTGGATGTTTAACAGGACAGGTCTGAGGCAAAGGCTTACATGCTGACCTTTAGGTGTGCAATGAAGCCAATAATGTGCAAAACATTCAGAGCCAGGATCAATCCAACAAACTGATCCCTCGCAAATCTGCACCCTCAGCTCCACACCTATATATATAATGGCCCATCTTCGCGAACGAAGATTTGGGGAAAGGTCTTTTACCTTTCCAGCCTGCGCAATGGATTTTTTAGGTGAGACACAGCCTGCGCTGAACTGAGCCCACCCTTTAATCCTAAGGTTCATCTGCCGGGGCCAAGCAAGCTTGGACAATGGCAGTGAGGTCCTCAGGACGTAGGTTTGTTTAGAGTGTCCTTCTCATAGATGGATGGCCACACAGGGCTAACGACCTCCATCAGGCCAGGAGACCGGGATTTGAACCCGTGGTCACAGCAGCGAAAGTCCTGCACGCTAACCACTAGGCCACCAGGGGTCTACACCTATACCCTCAGTGAAAATGCCACAGTATCACACCAGCAGGGATCTTCCGCAAGACTCCAGCTGTGCAGAGGCCCAGAGGAGAAAAGTAAAACAGAGGACAGGACAGTCTTTAGCAGGAGCAAAAACCTGCGGGGAGACTCGTGCCAATGTGCAGCCCTACTGACGGCTGGTGGAGCTCAGGTGCTGTGCTGGGTCTCTGAGCACCGGCTCCTGAGCACTGACTCTGGAGGCTCTGGCTGTGCAGTCTTATTTAGCCTTTTTCACCACGAATACTCATCTGGGATCCCAAGTGCAGGTGAATGGCATGCTCTTTGCAACTTGCCAGTGGAAGCCCTGCACGTGGGTTAAACGGGCCTGTGTGCTGCTCTCCAGCCTTTCTTCCTTCCCTGATAAGCACTGAAAGGGTTGTACTGCTTGCTATAGGGGACTTCCTCCACAGAGAGCAAAATAAATTCACCTGTGAAGTGCACTGATAAAGGCTTTCCATTTCACATCCAGAAGCTGAAAAACAACTTTACCAGAGGTGACTTTGGGGGGTTGGTTTTCTTCAGTTTTGTTTTGGGGTTTGTTTTTTGGGGTTTATTTGTGGTTTGCTGTTTATTTTTAAGAGGCAGGTAGATTAATGAGCCATTTATTTCTGAAAGCTAATTTCTGGCTGAATCTAACTTCCAATTGGTGCCTATCAAGAGGATCTCTAAGCTTCCAGAGTCATTCCAGAGAAGACTTATGACTATTTCAAGTACTTTATTCTCCACATAGACTTAAGTATCTGTAGTTAAGCAACAGTTAGTCCTAAAATTCTATTCATGCACTGAACAATGGAAGTACTAAGCAATATTTTGAGGCATATTAAGTAGTATTAATTTTCTAGACAAAACCACACTCCAGAACTGTTCTAATGCTCCTCCACTCTGACACCAACTTGAGGGAGGGTAGGAGTAGTCCTTTCCTGCGTACAGGGGTACGTGCACATCACATAGCACCATTTCACTGGAATCTGCATGGTTTAGATTTTAATGGAGTGTTGGTTTTAGAGTTGAATATACAGAAGCTCTTGAGTTACAAAAAGAATTATTATTGCAAACCTGACTGCAGCTACAGTTGGTGTTCTTGGAAGATGAGAGTGCAAGTAACAAGAAGCTAAGAAATTCATGCCAGTAAGTCAAGTTTAATTTGCTTTCCTTTTCCCCTCCCTTCTAAGGCTGGCTGAAATACAAGTTCCACTGTAAATGCAGTGACTAGCAAACATGGATGCCATTAAAAATACAGCACTGCCAAGAGGAAGTCCTCCGTTGACTAATAACAGAGTTTCCAATAGCAACTGCAAGATATTCTGGGCACTGATCTGAAGAGATTTAGGGATATATTCTAAACAAGATGTGCTTTTTGCAGCTCCATAATATGAATTGTATAACATTTGGACAAAATGTTTTTAAGTCACCAGTAACTTGCATCACAAGGGCAGAATCTGAGGTTTTGGTGGCTCTTCAATGACCTTTACTTCACTGGGTAACACTAAGCTCTTGCTATCAAGCCCATTATCAAAGTACGGTCAAAAAAATAAAGACACAAGTCCTCGCTAGACAGTCTGGCATTGCAAAGGTCCCAAGTTTTTGCTGTCAACTGAAACAATATGAAAGCATAGCCTTTTATTTTGGAATGAGGAGACTGCATGCTTGATAATAAATTTTTTGTGTAGCATTTGTCACTGTCAGAGCACAATACAAAATATAATCAAGTTCATTTGTTAATTAAGTAACCCATTCTTTGAAAACCTATTTTTTAATGCAACACAGTGTCAGTGACATTACAAAATGGTTTACTAGAACTGGAAAATTACTTTTATAAAAATCATATTATATCACAACTTCCCTTCTCAGCAAGCTCCTTGCTTGCTGAGACTGCATGGCATTTCATACAGTTATTTCCCATGCAGACAGAAGCTTTCTAATTAATTTTTTTTAATTTGAATATGGAAAAGACCCTCAACCTCCATTGCTTCAATTATGTAATTCTATCAGAGACTGCCCACGCATTTTCATAGGAGTAATTTATTTCACCTTTGAAGTAAACTTGAATTTGTCAGAAATATTTGCAAGGTCAACTTGTAAGCTCTACTATCTGGAAATTATGCCAAAATACACTCACAAATCAGAGTGCTAAATAGTAATTTCAAAAGATGATAAGCAGTAGTGAAAAGGTTCTAAGCAGCCAAATGCCATGAAATTTTTCATCTAATCACTGAAAACAAGAAACAGAACAAATTTTCTTACAGAGAAACTGATATATTACATAACCAAGTCTGACATTGTTATGTTAAAAGTTGCCTCTGAATAGAACATGTACAACACGTTCCAGCAGCACAGATACCAGCTGCACAAAAATACTGTGCTGCTGTTTTTTAATACCTTGGAGGTAAAATGTTATGCACTGCTTCAGTCTTCAGTACAGCTTCACACCATTTTTAATTTTATAGTGCAACCAAGTTACATGAGATGTAGGCAAAAGAGGAAAAAAACCACCTATGAGGGCCTAAAACTCTAGATGGCACACTCCTACAGTCAAAGACTACAAGTCTGAACAGAAATACACAGGCTTACGTATGATACTTCCTTGGTTTTCCTCCCAAAACATATACAATCTAGCCACAAATACTGTTCTGAGATCTGTTTGTGAATTATTATTATAAAAAGATCTGCACTATTCCCCCAGGTTAGAATTGGATGATTTAATATAACACTATGCAGTATTTGCAGTTTTGTATTTCAACATACAACTAATTCCCACGGCATAGCACCCATCCTGTCACACTATCATACTCCAACCTACTTTATGGACAACAGGGGTGAGATCTTAGGTGTTTCTTAAAGGCTCAGTCTCAGGCAACAACCAGGTCAGTTACACACATTTCCAAGCTTTGAACTCACAAAGAAAGTTTTTGTTGCTGCTTTAAGAAGGAGCTCAGCTTTGTTTCACTACATCAAGTCCAGGATCATAAAAAGGACATTTTGGTATATAGCCTTTAACCCACCCATCTATATAGAGTAGGCAGTATAAAATCTAAAAGTCAAATCACGATGGTGACAGTCATGAAAACTACATTGCAATATTTTTATTAGAATTTGCCAAGGATATGTTGCTGCTGTTATGCAATCTTACTGAAGCTGTAATAAATGAGATGATAGCTGTGCAACTGAATTGCCACAGTAGACATCTGAACAACGTCCAGAATGATCAGAACTGCAAAATGCATGAATTAGGATGTTTGACTAATTATCTGAGTAAATAAACCAGTGCCTAAAGACAAACACAGTATGGATTTACAGTGTGCTAGATGCTTCATGCTGATGGTGTGACAAACACTATCCTCCAGTCAGTACAAGGCAGTTGAACAAGCTGTCTCATCTCATCCTTGCAGTGCAGTTCCCCCTGGTTACTGTGGAGATAATGCACCAGCTACCCCACAGTGAAGGAGTGCCGAGACCGCAGGCACCGAATAAGCACAGACAAGCACATGCAGACTTGCATTCAGGTGGTTTTGAAATTCATGATGTGGAACATATGTGCAACAAAGGACACGGAGGAGGAATAAAAAAAGTGCATATGCATATACTGAGTGGAGAATTACACGGACATGGAAGCATTTGCCCACAAAACCACAGAGAAAAATGTCTTTGGCCATAAGCCACTACAAGAGCACCTCTGGAGCCAAGTACACAACCAAGTTTTCTCCTTTTCTACAGTACTGGAAATCAACTCACTAAGAAAACCGTAAACATCAACTTTTTTTTTCTCTACTACAGTGTATTCATAATCACTCCTTGCTGTATGGTAAACATTTTCCAGAAAATGCACATCAGTAGCACACTTTTCCTCTTAAATATGCAAATAAGACAAAAGTGTTTAACATATGTTATTAATCTACATATATAAATTCATAATTTCCATTTGCAAGACCAATAAATCACTATTTTCTTAAATCATTTAACAAGTTTATTTCTACAAATTATGGCTTAGAAGCAGGTACTGTAGGTACAAAAAATCTGAAGAAAATGATGTGCAGCATGTAATTTCTTTATGTTTTCTACGTGGATAAAATTATTTATTTCAGTGGGTATTCATCACATTTCTTATAGCAGCAATAAATAGGCATTCTACTTTTCATAAAATGTTATCTTATATAGGACGTTAATCAATACAAAATTAACTTTTAACAGCACTACAGTAACATAACCCACAGGTTGAGCATGGTATTGAAAAATTTCATATTGGATCTCTGTGCCAAACTAAGACTGAGTGATTTGCAGGGTCTCCAACATGTCTTCCACTGCCTTCAAAGAGTATTTAGTTTCTTTCTTACTGCGACCTGCAAACTAAACAAGAAAGAAAGGATTGTTATAAGTCATACATCAGAAATTCTGTGCACAGATCCTGTGAAAATAACAGTTCCAAACATGAAATATAACAAATTAACTCTATTCATTACAAACTTTAGAGGACAGCACTAAAACTCAGAATTTTTACCACAATACAAGCTATATCACCCTCCCTCTGTGAAGCAATGAAAAATTACTTAATAGTAGAACTCAATGTCACTAATTTGCTCTGAATTTAAATATTCTGTGCTAATACTCCACTTTGAAATTTAACATTTATCTGAACAGAGATCTTCACGTTGTTTTGTTTGCTCTGCAAACTTTAACATAAATTTTATTTCAGACTTATTTTTATGCAATCCAAGTTAGATTATATTAATAATTTAAATAGTAGCAAGACTTAGACTTGTTATTAAAGCCAATCTTTTTTCTATTTTTGTTATAGCTAGTCAGAGAAAAGTTCTACTTATCAAAATCCACTATAAAATAGTCCAGACAACATATAATTATATTTTGTGGTTCAAAGTAACTGTGAGTGATGTCCTTGTAGTTGATTGTAGCCTACTATTACAACAGCAATTTCAGGGAACATTCAAAATAAAGTCTGTTCTGATAAGAAAGAAAGACACAGTGTAATAAATACTACTAATGGCTTTAGATTTCCTAAGACACATGCAGCCAATTGGGAAAGGAAGTGGTACAAGGACTGGGGATGCTGACCACCCCATGCTGACCTCAAAAGAGTTTCTCTAATAGTACTGACAATTCCCATCACTCATCAGCCATATCTAACACAGTGGATTTATGGACTAGGTTGGTGTTCAGTCAAATGAAACTCTTGACTACTTTTAATACACCTGCACTAAAAAGTTTTGCATTTGGGATTGGGAGGGGTGGTGAAGAAATTACAGAAGCAGTAACTATAACTTGCTTGTAGTAAAAAAGCCTATTCTCTACTTAAATGTTAACATCTAAACACTAAATAAATTTTCAATTTGATGGTTTTCATTTCAAATACCACTGGTATCTCGCATATTTAGTCCTTGATTTATAATGTGTCCCTTCTCTCTTGTAATTAACTTAATTCAGCAAACTCTTCATGGCCTGTTAAGAAAGATTAAATCATCAAACCCAGGTAATATCACACCAGCAACAAGCTGCAGGACCTGTTAACCTGCTTTTGACCCCCAGGCTACAATCTAATACTGGGATCCCCAATCAGCACTGAGTTTTTAAAAAAATAGTTTTGGCACACTAAATGATAAGCTATTGCAAATTAAATAGTTAGAAGAAAGAAATTTTGTTACTGTGGCAACACTTTATACTTAAGAGATATACTGAAAATACCATATTTTCATATTTAATATTTCCAGGTGACTAACTGATGTGCTATGTTTTGATTCCAGTAGTATGCATAAACCCACTCTTCATGTTGTGGAGTTTCCACAGTGACCTGCAATAGTCAGAGGAAAATCCAAGATTTCTTAACACGCTTCGGAGTGAGAGAAGCAATTTTTGCTTAGATCTGACTGAATATAATATCCTCTTTTTGTTCACAGTAAACAGATACTTGGGGATTCCAAATCCTTTCACAAATATAAGTTAAAAAACAGAACTCAAAACCTCAACTGAAAAATTGTTTCAAATTCAAAACATTGAGAAATTTCAATAAAAAGCAGAGAAGCCTAAACATACGGTGTTCAAAAAGCACATTTGGCAAGACACATAGAAAGCATGCAGAGAAAAGTTTCAAAATAAGAGAACTTTTCCTTATTCTCTTCATGGACAGTGAAAGCAAAACTGACGTAAGAAGTCAGTTTAAAGAAACGCTACTTGATAATTTCAAGAGCAGTTGCCTTCATGATACTGACATATAGTTTAAGCTGAACAAGTAAAACCAAACTCTGCATCATAACAAACAGAAGTACACTTGGAAATGTAATCACTTCAAATTTGCCCTGACAAACAATTATTTTGTCTATTCTGCCATTATACAGCAATTTGACTGATTGAGCTGGAATCCATTTCTTAAAATCATGATTTAATTTTCTGTTTCCCAAATGGTTAGTAACAAAATCACCCCTCTCCAGCCATAAATAACACATAGCTTGCTAACACAGAAGAATTTAGCAATGTACCCAAAAAGCATGTATCTGGAAAATTACTATGAGTAGGATCACATTAAAGATTCTTGTGAGCATTAATCAAACCTGTCTGCCTCTGCTGAAATGCTTCTGCCAGGGGACATGCTAAACCAATTACCTAATTGAACAGCACCAGGTAGCCACATTTTGTTTCGATCTTAAAGTAACTGTGACTCATGTCCTCAGTCAGAACAGATAGAAGTCCTTTGCAGGGTCTGCATGGACAGAATAGTCCAGTTTCCCAGTGGTAAGGCAAAACTAGGCTGATAATAATAACTTTTAGAATAGCAAGTACTTCACTAATTTCTGAAATAAAAATTAAAATTAAATTTTATTTGGTTTTGGTTTTTTTTTTCCCACCCAGTCAACTAAATTTAAGAGGCCTGAGAATAATGACCCTTTTTTCAAAGGATGTGCTGGCAGTCAGGAATTCCAGCTCCATAGAGCAGCTCTAGCAACAAAACCTTTCTGTCTTCCTGCAGAAGTTTACATTTCTCCTAGATTAGACACAGATGAGAAGTACTAATCAGCATGGATGGTTACATATTTAAGATCAAAATAAATATATTAACCAGATGTCACATATCTGTGCTTTTCAGAAAATTATTTAACTATTCTGTATCATCGTGTTTTCCTGTAAAGACACTGCTACATGGTCTAACCAACAGTGGTGAAATAAAGGTTTCCTTTTTATACTCGAATATTGCTTTCTTTAAATGACAATAAACTAAAAAGTTCTGATTTTATGCAGGAATGCATAGGAAAAGCAAAAATCAAGTTCCAAAGTAAACTGCCTGAATGACAGAATAAATTGAAAGAAGGGGACCAGTAGAAATATTTCAAGTAAATTGCATATAAAATAAAATGATAATAAAAAACCCCAGCAACTATAGCCAGTATTTTGAAAAAATAAAGGCAGCTTCCCAGAATTACTGAGAAAACTGCTGGTAATTCAAGTTCGAATTCAAACTGGAAATGGGGAAAGATCTCGCTGCAAGACAATTGCTCAAAAGTAAATTTTTGAATTAATAATCTCATAATTTAAAGGCACAAAGTTATATATCAGGATTCCCAATGCACCTTATTCTCTAGAACATGACCACCAGAAATATTTCATTTAGCAGTATGAGAAGGTCCAACCAATAAAACAAGCCAATGCCAAACCCAACAAGCTCTTAAGGCTCTTACTTTACAGGTGGATAACACATGGAAAGTTGGGAGGATTTATAGAGATAATATAACTAGCTTAAAATCTGGCTTAAAACCCCTCCATTAAGGGAGGAACACTGTAAGGGCTTCCCCTGGCACAAGTGACCAAGGTTTTATCCTCAGGTCCAAATGATAACATTTTCCAACCGCTCAGCTCACCAAGGGAGCAACAAATCAATGCTGACTCACAGGGGAAACCAACTACATCACCAAACACCATTTGCTGTAGCCACTGGATGCCACAAGTCTCTAAACACAGACTGGAGCAGCCAAACACTCCTGCAGCCCTGTAACAAGATCAGGAGGGATGGGCTGGGGCGACCCTGCGCAGCCGAGTCATTAGAGCTTTTCCCAGGACTTCTGTGAAGAGGAAGGGGTGTTCACCCCACTTACTTGCCAGATCTCAGCTTGAGCACTTATATTTTCTCAATAGCTAAGTTTTCCCTGTGATTCCAATCACACACTTCACTTTATGTCCCAAAGAGCTAACAAGAGTAGCTGAAGTATGCAACGTATCACAAATGAATGAAGTCATAAAGAAGTTATGACATGTGTTTTACATATCTATAGATAGATAGATAGATAGATAGATAGAGAGATAGATAGATATAGATATAGATATATAGATACATTAGTTGTGTTAATGTGGACTGTTCCGGTAAGCATCAAACAAAAATGCTAAATGTAGGATCCAAAAGAACTCCATGAAAAACAGAAAAAAAATTTTTTTTTCAAACAACCCTCAAAAAAACCCAACAAACCCCCACACACCTAGAAACCCCCCCAGCACCACCACCACTCCCAATAAAATTCATGTTTTATTAGAGACACTGTGTGATGTTAACAGAAAGCCATGTGGAGAGAAAGAAAAAAAACAAAACAAAACCCAGGCACTCGTATCTTGCTGTGAATCAATTACATACAAACTGTCATAATTAAACATTCATTATATTTAGAACCAGGAGATGCCTATTTCTAGGTCTTCCAGGTCATTCCACAGCCAACACTGGTTTTACATTTCCATCCTGACACACCTGAAAGTCTTAACAGGTGCTTTGAACTTCAGTCACAATATTTACTTAGAACAAAGTGCAAATCCACTCTAATCTAAGTAGTTTATTCCATTAAGATGTAAAGCACGAGATAGTAGTTTTCACTAAAAATCCACACATCTTTTAAAACCTGTTTTGTTCTATCAGTGGTGAGTCCACAGTGAATTCCATTCTTCAAGGGGTTTTTTGTGGGTGTTTGATTCTTTTGGTTGGGGTTTTTTTGTGTTTTTTCTTTTTCTTTTTTTAATTCTGCAATACTTGAGTTTTCCATCAGCATTATGCTTACAGGCATGTCGGACATACTTCAGTCAAAAGAAGCCCTGGTTATTTATGGGACATCAGACATCAGTTAATTCATACACACCTTGCCATCATGAGCAAGTAAGTGGTTTATTAAAGCAGAGAGTCATTTAAAGAGCAAAAGAGAGAAATAAACTTTAGGCACACAAGTATAAAATCCTTAATTATATACTCAGGGTTACAGTATTCTTCACTGTAAAGTACAGTCAGAGGCTACAGGGCCAATTAGGAGAAATGGAAAATACCTCTAAGTTGGAATACATTGAAAACGTGTTAGCCCCAAGAAGCTGCACAGTTGGCAAGGAACTGATATACAATGTGTACTAAGAAAACTTCATTGGCCATAAAAGGAAAATTTAATTTAATTCCATAATAGATGGAGCTGGTAAAAAGGCCATTTGGTAGTATTAATCATTAAATAGTAGCAACAGGAGAAAAATTAAATATGAGGTTCCAATACTGAAATATTGCAGGAAGAAAGGCATGTTACATGCATATAAAGTCTTTGCTTTTAATATCAACATTTTTGCCCAAAAAAAAGTTCTGGGGAGAATTGGACAGGACTACTTATATATAAACTTCAATTGGTAGATTATTAAGAATACTTGTAAGAGAGTCAAATAGACAAACTATATTTGGGATGCATAGACAGCAGAATCTATGTCCTAACACGTGTTTTCATTCAGAGTTATAGAAAGGAATAGAGACTTAAAATACACTAGAAAATACAAAATTTTAAGCATAATTTTTCAAAGAGTTGAAAAGACTCCTAATGACTTCAGCAAGCTTTGATTGTGGCCTACAAATTCTACATTTTCACAATTCAACGGGCATTTTTCTACAAAACTACCCAAAACCAACTTCAGTCACAATTTCTAAGGTAATTATTAGAAACATCATTAAATTTGATTTTGAAAGGTCAGAGTAAACTCAAGGAAAATAAAATTCTAGAATTTCTATTTCTTTTTTAGTAAAATAGAAGCGGGTAACAAAGTCACTCTAAGAATTAAGGCACACCAAGTTTTATTAAAATAGCTGTAGAACCAAGTCAACGTTACACTAGTCTACATTCAGTTAATGTCAGTAGAAAAAAATCTGTTTAAAACTATTAAGTAAATAATACTAATTAATAAATGGAAAATATCAACCTTATATTAATTATGGCTTCTAGGAAATCAAACAAGTAGAATGCAAAAAAATCCAAGCAAATGATGCTGGTTTACATGTCATACCTCACCTCTTGAACAGCAGCTGATAAAAGGGCAGAAAAGAACTATACAGCACGTTAAGAATATCATAAAGCAACGATGTACTAACCTGGTATGCTCTGTTTATTTGGTTTGCTGCCCAGCTGGCATATTTCATATTATCCTTTTTCATTTTTGCACTTGCTTTTGGATTGGAAGCAATATGACTGGCAGACTAGGAATACAATAAAATAAGAACAAAAACCAGTGTAACTATAAAATTTACGTGCATTGAATAAACTGAGAACATTCAGCATCTTTGCAGTTCTAGTCCCAGACACAGTGACAGTGGAAAAAGACAAAAAAATTTTAAAAGTTGCTGGCAAACAGTATCCAGATAAGAAGCAGCTACACTTCTTAAACAAGTGTTTGTTCTAATTAAAGCTACACTAGACTGAAGTTCAGTTGTGTATTGAGTTAAGAACCAAACATGGACATGATCAGCTAATCATGATCAGCTAATCCAATTTGCTTTTCCTAAAGTCAGAGTTATGGATTAGTTTTCCCCATTCAATGTGTTACCAGTGATAGTATAAAATATGTCATTTGTGTGTCCAAACTGCCATTAAAAACATGACATTCCTTCCTGTGGCATCACAAAACACATTTTAAAAGCAGGTAAGACTCTACATAAACTACGGCCACCTTCACCTGAAAAAATAAAAAATATTACTTAAAAACTAAACTCATCTCAGAGACTTTTTCACTTACATAAATAAATCCACTATGCAAGGAACCAGTGCTACTGTGCTGGTACTCTTCAGCAGTTCATCATCTTGCAGAGAGGAATATGACTTTAAATCCTTTTCCAAGAACATACTTTTATGTGCCAATAATTACAATTCTTTGGAAAACACAGGCAAGACTTAAGGGTAAGAGCACTTCAAGTAAGGAGTACTTACTGGCACAAAATTGTCCATAGCCAGTATTAAAACAGTGTTAATAATATGAGCTATTAAGTTAAACCAACAGGGGGAAAAAACCAAACCAGCAAATGGTAAAGGATAATACACATGCATAGACATATTCAAAATGATAACATGGAAAATATATAATCATGCTTACCATGTAAAGTCCAAACAGAGCTCTCATATTTCTGTTGTTAAGCTTCAGTGCTTGTGCAAAATACTTTCTTGATAGCTCAAGGTTTTCAAGACCCCCTTGAGTGTATTTAACCTGTAAAAATGATAAGGTCTTGGAACTTGCATGTCATTCATACCTCAGGCATTTGCTCTGAAGCAAAGATATTATGAAAATTCACTTCAAGTTTGTTTCACGTGGTATTTCAAATCAGAGAGTCCTACCAAAGGCCAAATACTGGCTTGAGAGAAATCCAAGGTTTTCTCATTATATGAATTTTAAAATACTTCACTATAGGAGAAAAAAAAGCCAGCATTAATTAATTAATTTATTGCTACAAGAATCAAAAGTGATTATTTTGCACCTATAAAGACTTAAAACCTTGGGATAGTCTATGAAAAGTAGTACAAACTTTAAAGCTAAATTCTGACTACCAGAAATCCACACTGACCCCGTGTTCCCTCAGCTTGCAGGACACCAGTACACAAACCACCACAATGCCTTTCATTATGTATTCAACTGCAAAACAGCACACAAAGTTTAGAGGATTACTCCATTGATTTTTCTATTCATTTTGCCAGTTATTAGATCAACAAAAAGAGGGATAAATACTAGAAGACACGTTCACAGTCTTTCTACCCAAAAGCTACTTAGACTTTCAAGTTTTATTAACCCAATTTTATCCACATTAACAAATTAAACCCAACCTAAGGACTTATCAGTACAATTTAGAAAAAAAAAATATACTCTGGAAAAGAAAAACAAGACTGCAAATGGCTAAAACCTTGAGCTAAAACTTCTAAGTTTACCTCTAGTTTTCACCTCTCTTCCGCCAGTGCTCCTTCAGGCAAAATTTTGTATGTGGATTCCAAGATCTGACTCCACAGTAACAGGCAATACATCATAACCTTCTAAGCAGCATTGTTGTGGAACTTTAACTTCTCATGCACTTAATTTGAAAAGTGCATAAACACTTCAACAAGAAAAGTTCATTTAAAATGAGTTTTTATCTACAATAATTCCTGCCCTAACTCTTAGCTTAGTCACAGTGAGTAAGAAAACACAGTTTTCTTAACTTGTTCAGTTCTATGAGATGTCAACGTTCTCTGTATACTCTTTTAAATCTCCCAGGGAAAAATTAAAGAAACCATTTTCACCACTTCTGTAACATAAAAACAGAAAATGTAGTCAAACATAATTGATTTCTCTGAAAATACCTACTTCAGCATATTGCTGACAATATAAGTGGTTGTGTGGATTAGTCATCATAAGCTCCTCTAAGCAGAAGGCTGCCTTTGCATAGCTGAGGAATATAAAAAACAGTGACAAAATGAAACAAGAATATGTGGCTCTTTGCTTCAGTTTTTTTTACAGCACAATAAAAGTCTAACTTCCCCCCCTATAAAATCGTGATTCACAATTAATAAAAATGTTTCATTTTTAAATTATGTTTGGAACCAAATTACTCTTTTTACATTATAGACAGGGAAAAAATACACAAAATCTAATAGTCTGAGTATACATGGAACAGCTCATGGAAAGAATTTAATATCCTAATCTCTCATTAATAAGTGCCATTTCTTATCAACAAGAGTGATGAGTAATAACAGGAATTAGATACTATAAGGCAGTGAACTGAGACTACAAATTAATTCATTTTTTCCCTACAAGAAAATTCTGAGGATCCACAAACCAAGTTACAGACCAGAGCATTTACACTGACAGTTAACTTTATCAACCATAGAAGTGAGATTAAAAAAAACATACTAAGAACAGTTCAAATCTATGTATGCAAACAGCATCAGACCAAATGGGCAAAAACTTATCATTTAAAAAGACTAGCCCTTGGGGTTTTTTGGTGAAAGCTTTCAGAAAGAATTTTTTCAGAAAGAATTAAGAAGTCAAGCTCAAAATCTAGGTTTATTTAGAAGAATCTTAGCTTCATAATCTTTCAACTAATAGAAGTTTCTGCAGAATTTGCATTGTCTACAGATATGTGATAGCATTATTCCACAGTTTACATGACAGGATTCTAAAATTCAGAGATGCAATGTTTATAATGGCAGTGTGGGTAGATATTTAATACAGCAGCAAGACTTTAGGGTAAGAGCACTTAGAAATTATAAGACAGTATTAAACCATGTAATCTGTAAAATCTTGTATCTTAAAATAAATATACTGAGGTTTTCTGCCATGCATGATATGATACTCGTGTACCTATTTTAATTTGGAGATAAAAGGATAGCCACCAAAAGCAGAAGTCACAGTTCTCATTGCAGAACAGTGCAGAACTGAGGACTGTATAAATCTTGTATATCTATGTGTGCTTATGAACAACAATAAGTGCATGGTGATTTCACAAGCCAGACTAAATTTGTGAGCCCGATAAAATAAATAAGCTGACAAACTGTCTTCTTTTTTAAAAATTAACTAACTGCTTTTTAGCCAAGAGCCCAATTTTTTCCCCATTTAATCATCGAAATAATGATAATGATACTCATAGAAGTACAGCGAGCAGAGTAAATTCTTTCAATGAACTGAAGAGAGTTTTATATATTATTTTTTATTGGAATTACAGACCAAGACTAATACAAGCAAAAGCAATTTCTTTCTCAGGTTTTATTGCACAATTTGGTAATAAATATTATAGCAAAAAAACCCCAAACCCAATAATGGAATACGTATGTTTGCACCACTCTATCATTCACTTTCGTACCGACAGATTTGACAAGCTTAAATACCCTTCTAGTCAATTTTTTTTTTAATAGCTATTTTCTTGGAAAAGTGGCTGGTAAATTTCCTCAAACAAATGGAAATCTGGATATCAAAATTCTAGATTATTCCTTAGGCCTAAGTCAGCATTTAAAAGAGTTTAGTAATTATTTTCTTTGAGAATGGGGTGGAAGGAAAGGTGACAGGGGAACAATTTTTTCATCACAGTGAGAATAGCTATTTCTTCCTTGACAATTTGATTCTTTTACTACCCTCTGGAAAGGAAGGAAGGAAACAATGTGATATAATTCAGGCTGGGCTGAAGAACTAAAGAAAGAGAGGGAAAAAAAAAGATACGCCTTTGGGTGGAGGTTAGAATTAATGCTGGGATATTAGAAAACTTGCACTAAGGCTTTGAGCTAATCCTCTCACACTGGGATTTCCTCCTGTCACTACAGCAATAAAAAAAGCTAACAAAAACATTAAATATCCAATAAGCAAGTTACTACAACATTCAGCATTCTTGACTGCATTGGGTTTTGTACCCAGGCGACCAGATGCCTCTAACTCTGGATCCATGTTTTCCTTTGTCTTTTTTTTTAAAGGTTACTAAAAGTTCTTGGAGAGGTAGGCTAAAAGAAAATCAGAATTTCAGATGCTGTGATCTACTGATTTTAGAAGTAAAGAATTTAACATATCTAAAAAGTAAAATACATCACTTGAATGAAAAATAAGAGGAAGTAAGTGCTGTTCCCTGCTACATTCAAACCACTTCTTTTAAAATATCAGATTTTTAAAAATCACTGAAACATACAGGTAATTAAGTAAACTGTTTCCATTTTAAAATCAAATGCCTTCTTAAAGCTTTTGGTAGTCAAATAAGGTTGGTAATTATTTCCTGTTGATGCCTGTTATATTGGAAATGAGATAACATACTTTGTAACAGTAGTCCTTCAAAAAAAACCACTGAGGTTTTTGACTTACACAGAGTGGATTTCAAATTAACAGTTTTTATGTGGACTTAGCAAACAACTTACTCATGTTCATTGATGTAAAGCTCTGCAAGTTCATGCCAAGCTTCTTGGTCTCCAACAAATCTGTATAAAGACAAGAAAGGAAAAAAGGAAAAAAGGAAAGAATGTGCAAGGGATTCTGTAAATGATCAGCATGGAAGCAAAAGCGTAAATTAAATGCAAATTCCATTTTAATTAAAAAGATTTATCAGAATAGCAAAACACAATCCGTATTTTCTTGTAAGACACTCACTGTTCCAGATACTCATTCAGCTCTCGGATGGCCTCGAGATTTTTCCCCTGGGCTTTTCGAATGGCAATCTTACGCTTTCTTGCTGCCTACGGATTGACATTAATAAAGGATTAGGCCTCATAATTCCCTGGGTTTTTGTAAGGAAAGCAATTTGACTGTGCAAATTATTATCTCAATACCACTGGAATTCCATTGCAGAGAAACTGCTAGGTTGAAGTTTATAAACATACCCTATGACATCCCACTGAGAAATTGAAAACCTCTCCTTACAATCACATTATGTAGGCTTTTCTTTGGAGGCACAAACTGTATGCATTATTTCATTCAAATAAATGACTGTCCAGATTCCGGTAATTACAAAACAGCAGGGGATGCTAATCTTCAGCCATTCCAAAGACCCCCATCTTTTCATTCACAAGATCCGTGCCTATAGAGGAGAAATGGCCACTGAGTCTTAGAGAATCCCACAGATGCATCTGGGTTTCCATAGCATAAGTGTGGCTTCCAGCCATTTAAAAATATTCTTGTTGGAGTGCTGAATGCCATCTTTAATTAATGTTAAATACACACCAATTTCCTAAACAAGTCTCTCATCGTTCTTGGAGCAGAAAGCAGACTCTGCAATGTAAAGAGAATACAAAATAGCCATTTCAATGGCAAAACCTGAGCAGTGCTTTGATATGTGGGTGTTTTTATATTTTTTAAATTGAAATACAAGTTATAAGAATTATAATATATTTCAGTCTTGAAGTCCATAAATGTTGTTACAGACCATCAGGAGAAAAGATATACAGAATTCTTATAGTTGATTATTCTGTACTCCAATCCAATATTCCAGCTTCTGAAGGATGTTGGTTACAGTTTTCAGGCCTCTAGGCTGTGAATCTTACAGATTATTCTGAGTTGGAGGGGACCCATGAGGATCATCAAGTCCAGCTCTGAAGTGAATGGCCCATAAAGGGATCAAATCCACAACCTTGGTGTTATTAGCACCATGCTCTAACCAACTGAGAATCAAGATACACTTGAGGTATGATTCAAAACAACAGAAATCTTCCCAGTTCGGAGCAAACAGCACCACACCTTGGCCAGCCTGAAAGTCATCAGATCGGGAATCCGAGAGAATGAAAGTAAAATCTAATTCTGGCATAACATGCCTCAAAGAACAAACACCATCAGCCTCCTGCCTCAACAATAATCCCTGTTCTCCTGGGTGATCACAACCACTGCAGTCAGACATGAGATGCCATTTCTCCATGAGATAACATTAATGACAAAAAAATATAAAGCACACTTTTCTGGTAACTAAGGTCCACTGCTTATTCCCTTCATAGCTCTCATCCGATTTCATATCCTAATAAAGAGTTTATACAGTTGGGTATCACCTTACAGAAGCCTTGATAGCATGGGAATGGACAACTCTTTAGCAAAATCCTAAATTATTTTAATATTTCAATTTCAAATAGCTCTGAAATCAATTTCTTCATGATGTTCACATCATGAAGTTCACAGTTAAGTTCACAGCCACATATACCCTGAAAGAGTTCTTTTATTTTTACAGTATTTTAAACATAACTACAGTCCTAAATAATTTCTTATCCTTTGATCATCATTTGAACAAGTCAACTGCTTCCAAAAGAGGAGAGTGGCAAACTAGTTCAGGCACTAAAATAGCCCAGACAGAAATACTTTTAACACTGACTCTAGGTTTATTCTTTCCTTTGAGTTCACCCCCTTTACTTCCCCATGAACACCTATTCGATAAAAATTCAGTGAAAACAACTCAACATCACTCTTCTGCTTAAACGTAAGGCACACGCAGGGAGAAGACTCATCAGAACAACCAGAGGACAAATCAGGACACAGGCAGTGTGGTGGGTTTATCCACGGTCATTTTTTTTCCCCACTGTTTCTTTGTCAAACTGCAACCTGTGAAGTTACATACACCATTTTACTTTTACTGGCAGACACTTGGCTAAAAGCCATAAACGGAAATTTTAACTGCTGACACATCACTGTAACACGGTTTATTTTATTTTTGCTTTTTCGTTATTTAAATAAAGATAGCAGCATAACTAAACTTATTTTGATCTCAGAGGTCTTTTCCAACCTGGTTGATTCTATGATTCTATGATTTTCTTTAAATACAAAAAGAATAATCCCACAAACTTATCATACTGCTATTACTAAACAAAACCACAAAGTAACAACAACAACAACAACAACAAAAACCCGATCAAAACCACTGTTCTCTATCATGTTTTATGAAGAGTTCTCACAGCATTTCGTAAAGCAGGTCACCCCCTTGCTATGGTGGGAACACCAGGGCAGCGTTAACTCACTATCCAAAGCTGGTATTATCCACAGCCCAGTGACCTGCTCACTGTGCCCGAAATAGGAGAGAAGGAAAAGTGGGGATAACAGCTTGCACAGCCACAGGAGTGTATCATGCAGCTACAGCCTACAGAGACAGAGGTTTTTTTGCAGGTAACAGGCTATCGACTTCAGAATATAGCTCTTGGATTAACAATTTGGTTGTTATCTTCAAAATTTAAAGAAAAAGAAATCAAGAGTGATCAAAAGTAAACTCTTGAGAGCTAAAATAATCTATTATAAAATCAATCAACTCATATGACAACTTAATTTGCAATGGCAAACAGGACCAGTCTACGTAAGTCACCCTCCTCTTTGTTATTGAGGCAACCCCTTCAATCACATCCAAGTTAGTCCTCCAAAAGAGCCTGGAAACAGATTTTTCTCCATGGCTGCTTTATTTCTTACCCACAGCACTCCCAAGTAACATAAATCACTGGAGCCTCAAGACATTATTTTATGAAAAGCTACATCTATTTCTAGTCACAAATATAAATTGATGTTTACCTATAGCAAGCAAGTCATCTAATGCAATCAAATAATCAGGACAGAAGCATTAGACATAATTAACATGTTCTGGTGGTTGCACTTAGGAGTTAAACTAATTACATATACATTTGACAGAATCTCCCTGCTGCATCAAATCCCAGAAAAATTTCTTCCAAATTACACTTTTGTTTCTTATTTAAGGAAAAATAGTATTTAAACTTCCTTTTTTATCCACCTTCCTTATCACCAAAAACAAAGCAGCATCAAATCTGTGCTCTCGTCACCCTAAAAAATGCTGGGATAACTTTACTTACAGAGAACTCTGAGTTTACAAAAGAGAGGCTCAACCACTCACAACAGTGCTGATAAACAGAGGAGCAAAAAATGTTGTATAGTAGCACAGAATTTTTGAAATTCTCTTTAAACACAATGGAAACAAGTCAATGAGGATGCAGAGGTTATTTTAAAGCAATTTCTAACATTTTTCCATCACATAAATAAAACCATAAAGCCAAGATACATACACACAGGTGTTCAATAAATCTGAAGTATTCAGATCTCTGATTCACAGGAGTGATATGACAGGTGAAAAAATAAACACATGAAAACAAATTACTATTGCTTTTATTTGTATTCACAGACTACTCTCCCATTTGACTTCCTAGTTTTTCTTTGAATCATAAAGTCTAGCAAGTTTTCTTAAAATAAAACCCCAAATTCAATGACTCCAGTAGTCAATACCTCAAGAAAAATATATACAACAAGGCCTGCACTACAAGCAAAACATGCACTGTTTTGTGTGCTGCAGACTTCTAATTCTTGTTCTGATTTATATTGCCCCTGAGCTCCCTGTGTGCATCAGCTTAAGTGCTGCTCTGTGAGCTGGGGCTCACACATGGTGTGCTTGCAGAGCATCCTGAGGACAGCAGCATAACCAATGAGGATTTACACACACAGCATCAATTTTTCTTTATTTCCATACAAATTAAAAAAAAGGCTTTACTGAGCAAAACCACTGCCAACACTAATAACCACTTTACCAGACAAAACCAGTTATTTGATAAGAAAAGCCAGACTCCTACCAATTCTACAGAAGCTCTACCTAGCATTTATTTCATATATCCAATTTATTATCTGCCTTACAGCCAGCTGATATAAGAAAACCAGGCAATTTCATGTTTTATTATGTTTAAGGCCCTTTTTACCAAAACCCTCAAAATACAAATTCACTTTAGGGTACCTGTTGCAAGATACTAAAAAACTGCAAAATGCAGAGTACAAATCTGTTCAATCATTAATTTCAAGTCCACCAAGAATATCAATGAGAAATCTATTTTTAATTATAGGGATGGGAGATTATTTTGAAATCTAAGAAGCCTACTAAAATAGTCACAACAATTGCACTGATAAAGATAAAAAAATAACATTCCAGAGGTTCATTTCAGTTCTTCACAACAGTAACATTTTTAAGAACAAGTCTCATACAAAAATTAACTCAATCTCCCTTCTCCTTCAACTTTAAGCGAAAAGGAAAAGGCAAAACTTTCTGTGCTATAACAAGATCGGCAGTTTGTGACCATGCAGATCCTATGACATGAATTTCCCCCTATCAATTTTCCAGAGTTTAAAAAAACCACTAGAATGGTTATTGGTTGATTCTGTAAATGCAGAATTCTTAATTGAAAGATATATGCATCTTAAAGAAATACTTACACTGTAATCAGTATCATATGGACTAATGAACTTCAGTATGTACATATTTATTAAACAGTGAACCTTTCTAAGCTATTTCTTTTAAAGACTAATAATCCTCAATCTGGCACAAGAACTAATCCTATATTTGTCATGATTCCTTTTAATTATCATTAAGTAGACTGAGAATGAAGTGAGGACTTGAACATTTATCAACTTCTGCATTTTATCAGTAAAACATACCAACAGAAAGTCTAGGACTGTTCTAAATTTCATGGCTGCAAAGAAAGTACCAGTAGGAGAACCTTCAGGGACTGACAGTGTAAGAAAGAAACAATTTCCTATCTGTGTAACTATTAGAGCATTAAACAAATAATTTTTCATCGTAAAAAGAAATTTTTCATTTTTTTAACATTTTAGAAAATGTGTATTTGATCTAAGAGTTTGATACATCAAAATATTTTCCTTCAAACTGCAATATGCAAACCAAAACAGAAGTGTAAACAGATACAACAAAGATACAGGGAAAGCA